TGCGCTTCTATTTTGTCCAGTTGGTGCGCTTCTATTTTGTCCAGTTGGTGCGCTTCTATTTTGTCCAGTTGGTGTGCTTCTATTTTTCCCAGTTCGCACCCCTCGTGCGCCGCCAATTCCCCTCGGTTGCTCATCTCCGGCCATTCCTGACATACGACCGTCTCATTGTTCACGATGCTGTCATTGTACACCGCGCTGTTATTTAAGTACTGCGTGCTTTTGTAGTGAGTCCCGTCAAAATCGCAAACATTTCTGCTTTTCCATTCGGATCCACTCGTGGGGCACTTATCCATCGGTTGGTTGGGTCTCTTGCGTGAGGAAGTCACTTGGGGTTCCTTCGTCAAATGGGAGCTACTCAATTTCCGCCAAGTTTTATTTCTTGCATTTCCTCCATCGTCATTCCGGCATGTAGCAGCGTTTTTTTTGTCTATCCAGTTATCTGCCCCGAAGAGATCGCCTCCTCCGGACAGTTCTTCCCCCTTTTCGTCTTTTCTGCACCGGTGGGCTTCCCATCCTTTGGACTTGCCCGCAGACTGCTCAGCCCCCTTCGCGGCCGCCCAACACCTGGTGGACGCAGTCGAGGTGGTCCACGCGGATGGTGTGGCTGACGCGGCTGATGTAGACGACGAAGTCAACACCGCCGATCCACCCGATTTCGTCGAAGCGGTCAAGACGGTAGAGCGGCTCAGACTGCGCAGTCGTTCGTCGCAGCGCCTCTTTTTCGCCTCCGAAAGAAGATTCCCGCCAATGCCGCTAAACAGGAAATTGTTATTCCGCTTTAACGTTTCAATGCCGTCGTTCACTTGCTGGCTTAGCGCTCCCCCCCTCGCGCATCTTCCCCCCATATCCTTTTCTATCCACATTTTCGTTTTTTTTTTTTTTTTTTTGCACAGCTGTTTTGGTATCCTTTCGAACAAGTCGAAACGGTTGCTCAGCAAAATGGGTGTTCCCCTAATAGGGAATTTCTTTTTTTCTTTTTTTTTCTTTTTTTTCCTTTTTTTTTTTTTTACCTTTTTTGTCCCTCCTGCGTAGCTTACAATTTGGTTTGCAAAAAATTAGAGCCCCTATTCAGTTGGTCAGTTTCTCCTTTTTTGCGTCTACTTTCCGATTGATCAGAAGAAAAAATACAAGCATCCGCACATGTGCGTTGCGGGGAAAACAATTTGTCCACTTCGTGGGAAAATTAACTGGTCGATTGGGTAGGAAAATTAATTAGTCGATTGGGTAGGAAAATTAATTGGTCTATTGGGTAGGAAAATTAATTGGTCTATTGGGTAGGAAAATTAATTAGTCGATTGGGTAGGAAAATTAATTAGTCGATTGGGTAGGAAAATTAATTGGTCGACTTGATAAAAAAATCAGTTGGTCCACTTGGAAGCTTCGCAGGGGGGACTGGCAAGTGGGAGCCTAACTAATGGCACTCTAACCAGTGCAAGGTGGCTTTTCTCATCTCCGCCCTTCTATGCCGGTAAAAACAATTTTACAACATGGGTCGCCGAAAAGACGCGAGGGTGTAGGTGGGAAGTCCTGCCGCCGCGTGCGCCTGGCTCTAGTTCCGACCACGAGGTGTAGAACGTGCTAATGGGAGAAAAAGGGAAGAGAACAAGGCGAAAAAATTGCACAAAGAAATTGCACAAAAAATTTGGCGCTTCAGAAAGGCCAGTGCAGACAAGGGGGTAACAAAAAAAAGGAAAAATAATTCGCAAAAAGGTGGCAACAAATTATCGAAGAGTTGACCACAGGGTGACAAACGAATGACAAATGAATGACAAATGAATGACAAATTAATGACAAATGAATGACAAATGATTAACAAATAATTAGCAAAAGGATAACAAAAAATTAACAAATAATTCCCAAAAGGTTAGCAAAAAGTTATCATAAATTTCGAAACAAACTCGCAACGTGGGGAAAAAAAAATTAACCCAGTGCGAGTAGACAAGTGGGCCAAGTCCCTTTACTGCCAAGGTAGGATAGACACAACTGGGAAACTATTTCACTGCAAAATGGACAAAACACCACGCGCAGATTTTTCTTCTCTTTTGATAAACATCCTGGGGAAGCGAAATAAGCCGGTAGCAGAAATGGCACAACGTTGACATGTTCCAAGAGGTCTACTTGCGCGTTTTTTTTTTTTTTTTTTCTTATTATGGCTAGCTGGAAAATATCACTTTTGCTTCTTTTTTTTTCTGCCGCATATCCGGACGGTTGTTTATCCCCATTTGCAACCTGAGAAAAAAAAAAAACTGTGTATATACATATGTTGATGTGCAAGTGACGCCGTTGGGGGGGGTTCTCTTCCCCCCGGAAAGAACAATAAGCATTTGCACACATATGTGTAGGCATTTCCCCTTGCGTGCTCTCTGTGTGTATGCTCATAGGTACGTAGGTATTACATGGACACAAACACGCCATTGAAAACTGCGCTGAGGCTTGCTACAAGAAAAAAAAAATCCGCAGTGCATTAACTGAGTGGAACAATCTTACTTCACTTTTTCGATGAAGGGATGAGGCCTTCCTCATTTGGGGGTAACATGCGGGTTAATTACTCCACTCTGCAGTTTTCCATTTGAAGAAAAAAAAAAAAACAAACACGCACAAGCATACGCACATACATACGTACATACAAACATGCATACATAGAAACATACATATAAACAGCGTATCACATTCACGCAAATAGCACAGGGTGTCCTCCCTTGCCACGCGAGAAACGCAGTCCCCGAATGCAATTGCTTCGCCGCTTCTGGGCTATGAGGCTGACTCGTTGCGCGCAATTATGTTGCGAAAAATTACTTCGTAATTTTGCCGCGAACTTTAGCGTGAACTTTTACCGCTAACATAGTCGCTAACATAGTCGCTAACATCGCCGCCGACTTCACCCCAACCCCACGGCGTAGAAGAAACCCAGTAGTGAACACACACCGAAAGGTAAAACCTGATGAGCTTCTTTGCTGGCGGCATGTGGTCGATCAGCGCGCATGCCTGTGAGGAGAACCACGCCTTTATGCATTTAATTTAACCATTTAGTGCGCACATAAGGGGGGAAGCATACGTCTGTGTGCGTTTGCCATAGGAGCGTAAGGACCGTTTTATCACTTGGACTAGTAGCCACATGCATATCGTCATCTTCCCTTCTCCCCCAAACCATTGTGTGCAATCCCAGGAAGAGGCTTACGTGGCACTCCTCGGCGAGGCAGGACCCTTTATCTGTGCGCGTAAAAACACCCCACGAAAAGGGTACATGCACGTCTGAGCTCCACACACACCTCGGAGCTTTACAACCCTGAGAACCGTGTGATGAATAGCACCCCTGACAAGAAAGAAACGGACGATTGCTTATTCTGTCGAGTCACCGGGACGATTGCACTCGGGGGAGTATCTGCTTATTCCTTTTTAAAGTTTGTACAAGCGCCCATCAAGTCTGGGGACAGGAAGTTTTTCGGACTCGCGTCGCTCCTCTTCTGCTCGCTAGCCATATACAGGGCGAGCACTCCGGCCAGGCCCCTGACGAGAGCAAGGGGGGGCGGCGCCTAGCAAGCGCCTAGTAAGCGGAGGCTACGAAGCGGTTGCTACTAAGCAGCTGCTGATACGCCCCAACAGCAGTAGCGTCTATACCCCATGAACAGTGGCGACGGTCGCAGGGGGGGTGGCGCACCCAACAGCTACTGCCCGCCCTACCGCAGCTCGTCTATCTCGATGGACACAAACAAGAGCAACGCCGCACTGGCGTACAATGTGCCCCCAAACGATGCGAAGAACCTGTACATGGATTCCAAGTCCGACGACATAGAAATGTACGTAGAAAATATGCTTAATGAACTGAAGGGGAAAATGCAGAACTTGTCCAATAATCTGCTGAGCAAGGTAGACAATATGGAGAAGTCCCTGGATGAGTTGGAGCAGGCCATGTTAAGTTTTTCGAACAAGGCGGACGGGTGAGGTGGGAGAGGCCACATGGAAGTGACCACGTATTATTATCGATGCTACATTAGCCCGGTGACCTTCACTGCGTGCCCCCTTCCTGATGACGTACACCCGGCATGTGAACCGCTCCTCCATGTGGTTAACACATAAGTGTGCATTCTTTCTAGCCTTAAAAAAGATGTCAAAAAGAAAAAAAAAAAAAGTAGGACTACTCGATGGTGGTAAGAGGGCCTGTCCAGACAGAGCCCTTTCAGAGTTTACCTGCTCAGTGTTTATTCCCTTGCCGTTTATTTTTCGCTTACAGCGGGTGAACCCAACTGGGGCAACAGCATGTGTAAGACCGAGTGGCGAATGTGAAGAAGTGGTATAGCACGTGCGTCGATATCTGCGCGTGTGGTGGCTGATCCGTTGTCGCATACACTTTTGCGTTTTTAAAAAAAGGTGACGCCAAGAAGCAGACAGATAAACGGGGCATCATAATTCCCGAATTACTCAGAGTTGAAACCTGGCAGAGGGGCAACTGAACAACGGAATCGCATTACCGCCTCTCCGTTGTGTGTTGCTTTGCGCAGTTTTGTCCACCCGAGTTGCGCTGCCCTGCGCTGTATTGTGTTTTCCTATACTTGGTTTTATTTTACTTTCTCCTCTTTTTTTTCACCCGTTTTTTTTTGCTTTTTTTTGCCTTATTTTGCCTTATTTTAATTTTTTTTTTTTTAAACACTTCGCGATTTTTGACAATTGTCAAGCCGTACTGCAGTGTACACCATATGGCGATTTTTTTTTTTTTTTTTTTTTGTATATTGGTACATACGACTCCGTTTCGTCTTTCCCTCCGCTTCCTGTCCATGCCATTTTTTAAACAAATTTTCCTTTAATTCGAGTACGTACGAATGAGTGAAAATTGCATGAAGTGTGTTTTGAACCTAGTGATAACGCGGAAACAATTTCCAATGTTTTAATAGCCATGTGGCATGACTCATTTACCGTTACTGATTTTTGTTTTCCCCCTCACATGAAGAGTAAACGAGTGACGGTTTCTTCATTTGTTTCCCTCTTTCCAGCTTATTAAAATAACGATTGACTCAGCGAACGTGAAACCTTCTGAGTTAATGTCATGTTCCATGTCCGCCCGCATATGTGTGTTAATCCTGCGTTCCTTTTTGCTTTTTGCTTTTTTTTTTTTTTTTTTTTCTTCTTCCAAAACGTAGACAGAACGAGAAATGCCAACTGGGCAAGGCAGGGGGAAAGGGGCTGAACCAGAAGCGTACCATTTTTACAGGGGTCCCAAAAAAGACAATTTTTTTTTTGCGGACTTTGTGCAAAGGGGAAGGGTCACTTTCGCCGCATGCGCCATGGTCAGTGTGTATTTGGTGGGGTTTTCATTTAACGTTTTGTTCTTACGCTAAACGCTTGGGCTGAATTTTGATGCCTTAATCTTACGCTTTATTTTAACACTGAATTTTTACGCTTTATTTTTACGCTTTATTTTTACGCTTTATTTTTATGCTTTATTTTTATATGCTTTATTTTTACGCTGAAATTTTACGGTTTATTCCTGTGCTTCATTATTGTGCTTTATTTCTTTTTATTTTTTTTTTATTTTGTTTTTTTCGCTGGCCTGATGCGCGCCCCAGACAAGCGGCTAACCGCCAGACAGCTAACCGGCTAACTAAGCGCCGATCGGGCAGCCGCCTAACTAACCGCCTAACCGCCTGACAAACCGCCTTCGCTAACTATGAATAAGCGAATCTTCGCCTTCCGAGATGACACCAAGTCCAAAGATGCCGACGAGTTCGTCCGGAAAAATGGGTTCACTCTACCTCTCCAGATTTTCCAAGTGATGTCCTTCATCATATTCCTAGTCATCGTGGCGTTAATTATTTTCCTTTCCGCCTTCAGCCCCAGCAGCGTTTTTATCATTTTCTACGTCTTCTTTGGCATTTTAATTACCATCATTCTGGTCCTCTCCTACATCGTCACGATCATCAACCCCGTTGATCCCTTATCTTTTAAATACACGAATAGCCCAATAAACGAAGAAGAAATTAAGAACCTCTACGAGTGTGACATCTGTGGATTTGTAGAACCACAGAGCAAACATTGCAAAGTTTGCAACAAATGTGTCTCCGTTTTTGACCATCACTGCATGTGGGTGAATAACTGCATTGGGAAGAAAAACTATAAGTAAGTCTTCCGGGGTGGGACTCTGTATCTTTTTGCAGCCCATGTGGTGATAGGCAGCCCATGTCGTTATATGCCACCCATGTGATTATATGCCACCCATGTGTGCCTACCCAAAGTTTGAACCCATCTGTGCATGCAAATAAATATTATTCTCCTCCCGTTCCACCTTTCTCATTTCCCCCCCCCCTCCACGCGCAGATACTTCGTAGGTCTGCTCTCCGCTCTCACCGTATTCAACTGTGTCGTCTTCCTCTTCTGCATCGTCTTCTTTGCCATTTCTATAAAGCACGATCTCATAAAAGACAGATGGAAACACGTAAAACGACAGAGAGTCGACCAACCTGTACACGGTTCTATAGGGGCGCTCAGACTAACCACGCAACAACCGCGTTAACCGTAACGCAACTAACACAGCGCCGTCCATCACCACCCATCACCACTCATTACCACCCCCTCTTTGCAGTTATACGGATCGTACAATGACGTCGTTTTCTACCTACTGCTGTGTTTCCTCTTCGTCCTTAACGCAGTAGTCTTTGTACTCGTCATACAACTCTTCGGTCTCCACATTTTTCTCATTTCGAAGAAAATGACGACTTACGAGTACATCGTCAACCGGTCCCACGTAAGGGGAGCGATGGGAAGAGAGCGATGAGAAGGGGGCGATGAGAAGGGGGCGATGAGAAGGGGGCGATGAGAAGGGGGCGACGAGAAAAGAGCGATCATAAGAGAACGATCATCGGTAGACAAAAGTGTCGCCCTCCATCAGACCCTACTACGTACGAATCACTCTGTACTCACGCATCCCACGCCCCCCCCACACACACACACACTTTCAGTCCGAAGAAGAACAGAAGGTGGGAATTCGGACCTTCTTCGAGTGGCTAATCATAGACAAGAAGTAAGCTCACCAGCTCAATAAGAAGGGGGGCAGTCGGGGGAGGAGAGGCCCTTCTTTTCAGCGTCAATCTATCTCCCATGAGAGGGCATATCACTCCGTCACCCTTCTGTCCGTACTGCCCACCCAATCAGCTATCGTATCCAGCTAACCATTTTTCCCTCCATTACTTAACCCCCTTCGCTCCTTTTTTCTCCTGATCCCCACCCATTCAGACGCCTTCGGAAGTCGCACAGCCAAAATCTCGTAAGGCGCCGTTCCCTAAAAAGGAGGGTCGCTCGCTTCAGCGCCATCTGCGTTTTGACTACCACGCGCTGGCTTCGTGCGCAGGTTGCACAAGGTGGCAATCGGCCATACTGCTAGTGACCATACTCCTACCAACCCAATTGCTAATCGACCAAACGAACCACTCCCCCTCTCCCCCTCTGGCAGGACATCGAAATCCAGGACATCGAAAGAGTCATGTCTTTAAAAAGTTAGGACGTCGAATTTGAAGCACGGGGCGCATGCGAAGGTGCATGCAAAAGTGCATGCGCAGGGTGCGCCGGTAGAAGACACACAAGTGGCGCCCGGGGGCGCAAAAAACAGAAAAAGCACAAAAAAATTAAACCAGCGTGGGGGGTGATGGGGAGAATCGGAGAAGCGATCATACGTGATGCATCGCCTCGCTGTACCGCCTGACTGCTAAACCTCACTGCAACTCATCCGCGCGTCGGATGACCTCCTGGCCATAGTCCTTGTCCCGAATGCTGGCCTCGATGAAGCTGAGTCTCTTGGTCAGGGTGTCGAGGGCAGCGGACATGGTCTCGCTCTTGGTGGTTATCACCTCATTTTGCAATTTCAATTTTTTGTTTTCGTTAAATAACTGCGACAGGCTTGAATTCGATTCCGATTCAGTCACTCGCTTTAGTTTGTCGATTTCATCTTTCAATTCATCTGTGTACTCTTTGTACAAATTCGTTTGTTCCTTTATTTGTTCTTGCAAAGATTTTATGATGTTCACATTTTTTACGTTTAATTCTCTTTCCTTTTCTGTAACTCGAAGGAGATCCCTATTTATATTTTTTAGATCGCTCAACCTGTGGCTGAGTCTCTTTTGCTCTTCTTCGCTGCTCTTCAGGTGGGCGTTTTGGCTAGCCACTTGTTCGTACTTTCCTTGCAGGGTGGACAATTCGTTTTTGACTTCGTTCAGGTTGTCGCTCAGTTGGTCATTCTGGGTAGCCAGCTGATCATTCTGGGTGGCCAGCTGATCGTTGACGCTGCTCAGACGCTCCATGCTGCGCTGCCTCTGCGCCTTCTCCCTGGAGAAGCTCTCCATCATTTCGTCGTTCTTCATTTTGAGCTCGCTGCATTGACTCATTAGCAGCTCGCAGCGCTTCTCCATCTCGTGCACCCTGGACTCGTACGTATTGGTAATGCGGACAATATTCTCTTCGTTCTCTTGTATGGCCAGATTAATCTCATTCTCCAGCTGCTGCTTGATTTTCTTGTGACTCTCTTCAAGGTGTACACAATTCTGTAATAGCTCTTTTTTCTCCTTTTCGAAGATTTCTTTTTTTTTTTCAAATTCTTCATTTAGTTCTTCGATTTTGTTTCGTACCATCTGCTCTGTCTGATTCTCCAGCATCTTAATCATTCCTTCGTATTCATTTATTTTGATCACATTTTCTTCATATTTTTTATTCAGATCTTTATTATTATTGTTTGCTTTCTCCAGCAAGTCACTGAATTCTTTTTTTTTCGTCTCATACTCTTCGCTCATTTCTTCGTATTGCTTCACATACGTGTGTACCTTTTGTTCGGATTCTTTTTTAATTCTATTAATCTCTGCTTGTAGAAGGTCAGCAAATTTTTCTCTAATTTGTTCGGATTCTTTTGTCTTATTTTGTACGATTTCTTTTATTTCCTTCTCCAGTTTGTCTTTCTGTTCCTGGAGGAGATTAACCCTTCTGTTGTGTATTTCTTCGTTATTCTTTAGGTTGTCTTCCAGGTTTTGATTTCTGTTTATGGCGTTTTCCTTTTCCTCTTTCAGCAGCGCAACGTTCAATTCGAGATGTCTCTTCTCCTTCGCCATGTGGTTCATCTCGGTGTGAAGCCGATCGATCTCGCTGTGCAGCTGAGCCAGCCTCTCCTCATGCGAGTTTTCCAGCTGAGCCAGCCTCTCCTCGTGCGAGTTTTCCAGCTGAGCCAACTTCTCCTCGTGCTCCTCGCTCAGCTGTTTCTCTAGCCGGGCTAGCCTCTCCAGTTCCTCCTCCCTCCTGCTCACTTCACCGCGCAGCGCCTCGATTTCTCTACTCTTCTGCGAGTGGCACTCCCGTCTGAGCTCCTCCATCTGCTGCTGGTGCTTCTGCTCCTCCTCCAGGAGGCTCTGCCGCATCTGCTCCATGTGTTCGTTAAGCTCCCTCTGCTGTTCCTCCTTCAATTGGCAAATTTCCTCGTTTTTCATTTTCTCCATCTGGCACCTCAGAGCCTCCACTTCGCCGTTTTTCTGTATGATAAGATTGTTAATGAAGTCATTTTTATTTTCCTCCATTTTTTCTTTATACTTTTCTAGCTTGCTGTTAAAGTTATCTTCCGCGATCTTCTTCGCCTTTTCCAGATCACCCGCCGTTTCGTCCATCAGTTCGGTTCGCAGCTTGCCCATAACTTCGTCCTTCAGTTCGGTTCGCAGGTCAGTCATCACTTCATCTCTCAGATCGCTTCTCAGATCGGCCATAACTTCATGTCTAAGTTCGCTTCTCAGATCGGCCATAACTTCATGTCTAAGTTCGCTTCGCAGCTCACCTCGCAGCTCGCCCCTCACCTCCTCCTCCATTGCCCCCTTCGTCACTTCCCTCTGCTGGTTGGCCAGCTCGTCCATCTCTTTGATCCTCCTCGCTTCGAATTCGTCCTTCAGCATAGATACCTTTCTCTCTGCTTCGGACTCCACTTTCTTCATCTCCTCCTTCAGTGCGACTCCCTTCCCTCTGAGCGTTTCCAATTCTTCCTCCTTCATCCTGAGAGATACCTGGTGCTCCCTCATCACTTTCTCCAGCTCTTTTTCACGATTCATAATTTCCAACTGGAGGTTCTTTTGTTTCTCCATGATTTCCTCTTGGTACTTTTTTTCCTTCTTATTAAAAGAGGCACTCCTTCTTCTGTCTTTTTCCTCCATCTCCTTTAGCATGTTCAGATTTTTTTTTTCCCTTTTTTTGTACATCCGAATGATTTCTTCATTTTTCATTTTTACCTTTCTCAGCTGGTTGTAAGCATTCACAAATGTTTCCATCTCTTTTTTAATTTTTTTATTTTTACTGTCTATTAGGTGTAGAATGTTGTTCAGTTTGGATTGTTCCTCCGCCTCGGCTTCTCTACATTGGGTGGTATTACCCCCTTCGTCTAAGTGCGACGCGATTAGTGCTTCTTCCTCTTCGCTCTCCTCTTTTATACTCCTCAATCGGCTAATTTTTCTATAAAGAGTGTCCAACGCACTTCCTTCTTCTGCAATTGAGTGAAGTTTCTCCGCTTCTTCCTGTAGGCGACACTTAAAACCTTCGTCCTCCTTCGTTAAGCTTTCATTCAGTGCAGTTAAAAAATGCTCAATTAGCTCCTTTTCCTTCTTGGGGAAGAAACCTCCTGGGTAGTTGTCACTCATGGAGGGGGCCTTCTCATTTTGTTCGGACACCGGATTTGCAATCACATTTTCATCCTCTTCTACCACCGCTTTATTTGGGTACATATTAGGGGGAGGTATAACTGGGATACTTCTCACCATATCATCGTTGCTCTTAGACCAGGTATCCCTCCCATTGGGTCCAAGATGCGGGGCTCTCGTTTGGGCCCCTTCCATTGCGCGCCCGTTGTAAGTGCCATTCGGCATGGTTGCGAATTTTGTGTCCCCCCGGTCTAGCCGTTCAAAGTAAACCGGTTTCACAGCACCTCCCATAGGGGGAACTCCCATAGGGGGTACCACCGGTGGAGGCCCCCTGCTCAACGGGGGAGGTGTTCCCTTTCCTTCATTAGACCCTAAACCGATGTTACCGTAGAAACTGCTGCTTTGATCCTCCCTCTTAATCGAGCTAGCCATATGATCACTTCGCCCTTCCTTGGGTGGTATGTTAATAACCCCATTTGGATGATTAAAACTGTCGAAGCCTCCTTTCAGTTCGTGCCCTTTGGGGAGGCTTTCACTGGATACTCCATTTCTCGCGTAACTGTCTTGTATGGATCTTCGCCTGTCGTTACTTCTATTTGAGTTAAAAAAGCTCTCCCTAGAAAGGTTACCCTTCGATTCGCAATCCATCTGAACCTTTGGGATGAAGATACTTTTTTCTCCACTAGGTATTATGTTACTGTCCTGTTTTGAATCCTTTCCATTTATTTGGTTCAGTTGGTCAGTACTATCCCTTTTCATTTTGCTGCCCCCACTGGGAATGATTTCTGTCGCTCTGTTACCCAGACCCGTATCATCGACAGTGTCCTTAATGATTTCCCCCTCTCCTTTGCCCCCCAATTTAGGGTTAGCTTCCAATTCAGCGTCACTTTCATTTTTGTCCAGAGGGGACTTCCCATCGACGTGCTTTTTCTCTTGAACTTTCACACAAGGTATGAACATGTTTGAGCCAAATGGCTCCGATCGATTTTCATCGGTCGTGTTGCTACTTAATTCGTTCTTGGCTGAATCCATCATATAAGGGGACACAATTCCCCCTTGCATCTGCGTGCTCTTCTTCTTAATCGTTTTTAATCCGGGGATCTCTGCGTAGATGGTGCGGGCACTCCTCGTTTTGCTGCATAGGCGATTGGGGGGGAGAGAATGAAAAGGGCAGAAAGTGAGAAAAATGGAGAAATCGAGAAGTGGAGGAAGTGAGAAGTGGAGAAAATCAAGACTAGGTGTGAATATAAATGGCTTCACTGCGTTAATCTGCGTGGGGAGCCCAATCCCCCAACATATTAATGGTCGGGGGACGATGGAAAACGAGACATGTGCTTCTTTCCGAGGAACCCTACTTCTGCTGCATCAGTGAGCGGTAGCCCTGGCTGGCGTTTTGTAAAGTGCTCATTTTGGGGGGCGCCGTCACCTTCTCCTCATTCTCCACTTTGTCTTCCTCGCCGCTTATCACCCATCGCTTCAGCTCCTTGTTGAAGTAAAATTTGTTCTCCTCCCCCAGGTGGGCCACGGTGGGCTTGGACTCGTTGTCGTCATTTTTCTTCGATTTGATGAAGCTCCAGAACGAACCTATCTCGGGAGGGGTCGATTAGCAAGTGCACGCATGTATTTATTTGCGCAGGCACGTATTTGTGGAGGAACGTCTTTCCGCAGACATGTATGTACGTTTCTGCGTGGGGCCCCCCTTTCGCAAAAGAGGGTAGACAAGAGGAGAGACAAAGGGGCCAGCCACGGATCAGCGTTAAACGAGCAATTTTTTTCCTCAAATTTTTTCTTATTACTCATTTTTTCCAAGAGTACTTATACCCTAAGATGTTCCACATGAACGCGTTTTCTATGCGCGTCACTTAGTGCCTCACTCAGTGCGTCAAACGGGGGAATACCCCTGCTCCTGGGCTCCTTTCGAGGGGTTGCCCAAAGGAGCAATATGCTACATAAATCAGTGACCAACTCTGTGAAGGCGGTTGAATGTGGCGCTGCTTCACGTATGCCACCACGGTGATGCTTTTCCTCTCATAAATAGAAGGTTGCAAGAAAGAAAAAAAAAAAAAAAAGGCTACCTCTTGAGAGGGTTTTTTTTTTCCCCTATTGTCGACAAATCAATTGGGGTACAGATGCCATATAAAGTGGTTGAAGATCTCCACGCTGAGAAGGCAAAGCAACGCATGTCGCCATGTGCTTAGTGAAGCTCGGCACGTGGCTGATGTAGCGCAGTGCCAGCCGAATGCAGCATAGCTGTATGCCCCTACGTAAGCATGCGAATATGTTTATATGTACGCATGCATACGCGTACCTGAATGGGGGTGAGTGCCCCCACCCGAGGCCCTCGCGCGGGTAAAATCCCCCCCTGCGATGATCTATAAATCCCTTAAGGAGTGGCGTCGGCGGGAATCAGCAAACCCACAAGCGGTGCTGCCCTGCAGAACCATCTCATTTGTCCGCAAAAAGCGCAACGGCTAAGGAAAAGGCAGAGGAAAAAACAAAAATAAAAGCCAGAAGCAAAAGGCAACAGAAAATTCGTTTCGCCTTTCCGCACTTTGCATTGATCCGTACGAAAGTCGTTATTTTTTCACATTTTGTTCACTCTTTTTTTCTCTTCTTTTTTACGCTGAAGCAATGTTCCAATGACTTACAAAACGGCTTGGGCACTTTGTGCCGCTCCCACTCCCCCATTTGGGTATTTTTTTTTTTTTTCGCCTCCCTTTTCCAGCATTTGTATTCTTTCTTCACCTTTTGTTACATGAAATTTTACACACGGGGATGCATAGTTTTATTTTTTTTTTTTTTCCATTTGTTTTAGTTTTTCTCTTTTTTTTTTTTACATATATGGTATGTACGCACTTACATGAGGCAAATTGGGAGGAACTTTTTCTGCCTTAAGCGGGGGGATAAGAAGTATTGCGTTTATGCCTACGTGGCACATGATATACCAACAGGAGAGCGGAAATGACTCAAAAAAAGGATAAAAAAAAAATCACAAATGGGGGGCAGTTGACCGGGCGAAGATACCAACCATTCGCAAATTGCGTGACGCAAAGGGCCCCTTTTATTTTCGTTCAAGTGGGACCACCCCAGCGAGCTACCTCTCTGTAAGTGGCACCCCTGACTTCTCGGCTAGCCTAAAAATAATAGTACTTGAGAAAGCCAAAAATGTTTCTCACCTGGATTGGCATTATTGACAGGGAGTAGCCATTTTGGTCTTGTTCATAGTAGCGCACCCAGTAGGACATTTTCCTATCGCATCTTTTTATGGTCCACAATTCGTCGCTGAGAACTTTGCTGTTTTGCAATTTGAGTTTTTCGTAACCCTTAACCTTGGTTATGCTTTCCAGTACCCTGTCCTCCTTGCACTCGTGCATAGCCACCACTTCGACGTTTTGTATCTGTCCAGAAGGGGAAAAAAAAAGGGGGGAGAAGGACACAATAAGCGGGTGTGGTGGCCGCTGTCGGAGGGTACAACAGAAGGAGAAAAAATATGGCCGCATATCCCCATGTGGCGAAGAAGGCAACGCGAAATGGGTGTTCACTTGCCTTTTTTATTTCCTTATTTTTGCTCATTTTCCGCGTTCTCCGCGATTGCCGCCATTTTCGCGTTTTTCCTTTTTGGCGCTCCGTTTCACCTTATAAATGGCCTGACGAAATAGCGCGGACTTAATCTGGCGAATGACCTGGTCCGCCCTTTCCTCGAAGTTGGTTGTGTGCTCGTAATTTCGTAAAAATTGTGGGCGGAAATTCACATTGAGAAACGCGTCCGGGTACTTCATATTGCTGCCATTTTCTTTCATCCACTTTTTATCTCGGAAGCAGGGAAATGTAAACATGTTATATAGAGGCAATGTAAGAAGACTAACCCCTAGGGGGTCCACACAATACTGGTACCCTTTTCGAGATTTTTCTTACACGATCAAATGGAGTTGCAATTATTAAACTTCTTTTTTTAACGAAAAAAAAAAAAAAAAGCTATCTGAGCTATGTTAAAAAAATGGAAAAAGAAAATACTTAAAGAAGATTAATAAGGATAAAAAATAATTAACAAAAAAAAATAATAAATGAATAAATAAATAATTCAGTGAGATTCGCAGTGACTTGGCATGGTCCACCGTGCAACGTATGCCTGACTAATGACAGTAACGCAAAAGCCAAAAAGGTGGCACGGCGATCTGTGTGCGAGAGAATACCATCATTCTGTTGGCATTTCCTTCTCATCCTTTTCCCCCCGTCGGCAATGCTACACTACAGTACATTTTGTTTTTTACCTTTTTTTTTTTTTTTTTTTTTTTCTATGGTGTCACTGGTGGCACCAGTTTGGTATTACACGTATGGGAGTGCATGCACTGTCAGAGGCGCTGACGGTTCGCACTTGCGCGTAGCGCATTTTAGTAGGTGTTGCTCTCTGCTGCTTCCCCTTTGCTGCTTCCCCTTTGCTGCTTCCCCTTCGCTGCTTCCCCTTCGCTGCTTCCCCTTCGCTGCTTCCCCCACCTACCGGTCACTGTAAAGGTTTATATTGACGAAGAAGGGGTAGAGGGGGAAGTGCACCAGCTGCCTGGTGATGGGCGAGTGCTTGCCCGGAGACCCCCCGCCCTTCATTATCTGGTTCTCCGAAAAGACTAGCAGGGAGAGGAGGTTACACTGGTCGGTGTACGAGTAAATATTATTTTTATACAAAATGTAGTTGTTCGAAAAAATGCAGTTGTCACTGTTGCACACGACGCGGAGGTTGTATTCGAAAAGGTAGTAGGAGAAACCTTCCCTCCTCATCGCACTGACATCGCTACAGAGGGTGGGTTGTCTTAACTTTCTCATTTGGACCTGCAGCAAGAATAAGCAATGTTTGCGACTTATACATTCATACAGCATATTCGAAATGGATTTTTTTAAAATTTTTTCAACGAAGTCATTTCTTCTTCCAACATAATCTGATACCCACGTTTTCTTTAAAACAATTTCGCTGTCGTTACACATTTGATGTTTGGATCGGTTCGATTTTAAGAGAAACACTGTGTGTGTGTTCTTCACAACATCGTGATAAACAGCTATTTCGAAAAAAAATTCGTTTGCTAAATTATCCGTAATGAAATTGTTCTCGCCGTTTCTATAGTCTGACCACTTCCCACTGAGTGAGTACTTACCTGTGGAAGAGGATTCACTTGTGTCCCACCCCAGTTGGAACCCATACAATGTGGGATCATTTGAAAGAATGATGTTCTTCTTAAATGTAAAGATATCGAATTCGTAGAGAATGTCTAGGAAGGTTACCTCTGAGGTTACTTTGTTCTCTTCGATTACCAGTTCGAAGACATTTTTGTGGAACCACTCGAATGCGTTGGAGTCGATTCCACTTCTGTCTCGGTCGAAGTTTAGGTAGTTTGCAAAGTTGGAGATGAGAATGACGTTGTTTTCCTGTGGTCCCCTCGTCGGGGGCATGCCTCCGTCGTCTCGAAGGCTGTCTCGGTTACTTCCTCTGTGGCAGCCCCTTCCGCTACTCACGCCGCTACTCAGGCGGCCTACCATCCCGCACCCGCGTCGGGGTCCCCCTCTGCGGGCGCCAAAGCTCCCAGCCGCCTTCCCCTCCTCCACAGCGACGTTCATGCGCATCGCCTTCTTCTTGTCATTTATGCCCTGTTCCTTCTGCCCCGGGAGCTGCTGTCGCTGCTGCTGCTCCTGCGCGACGCTGAAGTCGACCTTGGCAGGGCTCTCCCTGCAGTTCCTTCTCAAAGCCCACTTATTGACACTCCCGTTCTGTTGCGGCTTCTTCTCATTCTGCAAGAGGGGCGAACTGTATAGGCTCAACACATCTTCGCAATTGGCAATGCCATTCTGTCCACTCTGCTGCGCTTGGCCAAAGGTGCCGTTTTTGCATAGCCCCTGAGATATCCCTGGAGACCGTCCCTGTGAATTTCTTCCTATCATGGGGTTATTAGCATCACGACAGTTATTTCCCTTCTCATAGTCTGTGCTGTTTTGTTGATTCGGATGCTCGTTGTCTGGAGGTCCCTGGTTCTGATGGCTGCTCCTACTAACTGCATTTGCATTGTCCACATAGTTCTGATAGTAATGTTTGTCTTTTCCATTATTTCTATGCATAGCGATGGAGGGCTTGTTTCTTTGCGCGGGGTCTCCCCCTGGATCGTGGCTATTTCGTTGGAAGGGGACTCTTGCTCGATAGCCATTCTTTATTAGGTTGATGGAAGCCGGGGGGCAGCAGTGATTCTTTCGATTTTGCGCCTGCCCGGGGGGCTGCCCTCCTTGGTTCAAAAATGTGCTGCCTTCGTTCGCGTCTTTATTTCTCATTCTGCAATTTCTGCCTTCCGATAAGAGCGCATCCGAGAGTTTGCCACCGCAGCTGTCGCTTCTGCTGCAGCTTCTCTTCCCGCTTCTGTTCTCACTTCCTTTCCAGCTTCCATCCCCCTCGGTGGGGTTCCCCCCCAGAGGCGTCACCTGGACTTGTCGCTTAACGTTGAAGGGGTTGTGCACATCCTCGTCGGCCCCTACCCTCCTCAGTCCACAGTTCGGCGCCCTACTCTGCTGGCTCGACTCGTTTGCATCGCAGGGGGGGGCGGCGCCTCCGACGGGGCGCTCATTGAGGGCACGTCCGAAACGGTTCTGATTGGCGCAACTTCCGAGTTGGAACTGGTTGGTAGCGCTTCCCTGTGGGTCCTCGGTGGTTCCCCCAATGGGGGACCCCTTCCCAGGAGCGACCTTCCCAGCTGTCACCTTCCCAGTCGCTTCCTTCCCACCCCCTTCCTCCCCCCTGGCTGGGCTCTCCAAACCTCGTCCGCTACTATAATTTTGCAAGTAGTCACCAGGGAACTTCGCAAAGTAGCAATTCATTAAATTAAGTGAAAAAGAATTGAAGAAATTATTTTTAAAAAATATATCTTTGTGTAGCTTATCGAAAAAGAAGTCTTTCATTTGAGTTAAGTTACCAACGGTGTTGTACTTGAACGGTGAGCTGTGGATTTGCTGCTCTTCGTTTCTCTCCTCGTCCTGAGTTCCTTGTCTATTTGGACTCCTCTCCGTGCACACATCAAGGAAGGTCTTAAAAAAGGTGGTATAAAATTCGATGCTCAAATTACTGGATAATTTGTTTTCTACATCTTCGTCCTTCGTAATGATGTTCTTCCGTTGGTCTAGGTGGTGTTCTTGGCTACCCCCAAACACAGCGCACATAAATTTGAAAAACATTTCTTTGACGTTGTCGTAGTTTATTTCTCCCTTACTATTCGCATATCTCTGACCGTTTGGTTCGTTTCCCTCCTTCTGTGTGTTTCTCCCATTGTGCTTCTGTTCACTGGTATAGACTTTTCCGTTCCCATCGACGTTTTGACTTTTTCGTTCCTTCTTATGCTCTCCATCACTCTGCATGGAAACCTTCGCACAGTCTTCTTCCCCCTTGTGATAATCGTCCATCTTCAAACCAGAGCAACTGATCTTTTTCTGCACCAGTTCGTTCTTCTGTTTGATGTACAATTCGCTCTCCTTCTGTATTTCGAGTAGGATTAAGTTCACCAATTTGGAAGACGGCCTGTTTTTTATATTTGGGTTTAAGCATAGGAAGGAGAGTTTCGTGAGTTTCTCAACAAGGAATTCAGGGAAGTGGACACTGTGGTCCAGGACGGCATAAATCGATTTGTAGTCGTTCATATTTATGTGATTCACTAAGTAATCAAAGACGTTGTCTTCATTTTCGCTTTTCTTCTTCCTGTGACAGAAGATGGGGCACTTGTCATCTGTGCCGTAAATACAGTTATAGTTCTTCCCTACGTGGACGGCGGGTGACTTCGATACCAGCATCTCCAGGATCAGCGCCCCGAAGGAGTATATTTCTGTCTGCTCATTTATTTCGTGCGTGGATATGTAGTACGGGTCGGCGTACCCGGGGGTGCCTGCGGTGATGCAGCGGTGTGGCCATGCAGCGGTGTAACGATGCACTGATGTAACGATGCACTGATGTAACGATGCACTGATGTAGCGATGCACTGATGTAGCGATGCATTGATGTAGCGATGCACTGATGTAGCGATGCATTGATGTAGCGATGCACTGATGTAGCGATGCACCGATATAGCTACGTAACGATGCAACGATTTCTCCCCTCTTGCGAGCGCGGGCGGAACCCCTCCCCCCTCACGCCGCCGAACTAGCTGACTTACCACCCGTGAGGTTAAACACATTGTTGTTATTCTTGTACACAAAGGAAAGGCCGAAATCTCCCAGCTTAGCGTTGAACTTCTCGTCGATCAAAATGTTCGCTGACTTCAAATCCCTGTGATAAACGATTGGCGAGGAGGTGTGCAGGTAGCACAGCACGTTTATTATCTGAATGAGAATATTCAGCCTGACATGGAAAGACAGGAACAGAGGCACGCGCTGGGTACTCTGCAGATGTTGATTCGGAAGGAGAGAAAATCTCAAATTGTTCATCCCATTTCGAAGGTCACTCTGTTTTTTCATTAATAGCTGATCATTTCCATAGGGGAAAATTTTTCTCCTTGGAGAAAATTCGGGATTCGCCTGTTTTACATTGCAAGGAAAATGTACCTCTACATTTTCTCTTTCTCTGATACTATAAAAATAGTAATGGTTAAACAAAAGGGTTCGTAAATCTCCAAAATGGGCATACTCATAGATTAAGTAGAAGTATGTTGGATTTACGGCGTACCCAAGTAGCGATAAAATATTTTTATGTCTATATCTGCTCATGATGATAACTTCATTTTCGAAACCATTGTTTTCATTTTTATTCAACACTTTTATGGCTACACTTATGCAGCTTTTTAACAGGCCTTTGTAAACAACTCCATTTCCTCCTTTGGCAATTTTATTTTCTTCTGCAAAATTGTTCGTCGCCTGGACGATATCGCTGTAGTCATATTTGTTGGACAAGATTTTTAATGGGATGTAAATGTTGTCCTCTTTTTTGTGTGAACTTTTGTGTTGCGTTTTTTTATCAAGGTGGTTATATTTTTTTTCTTGCTTTTTTTCTTCCTCCTTTTGTTCCCCTTTTTGTTCCTCCTTTTGTTCCTCTTTTTTTTTCTCTTTTTCTTCCTTTTCTTCCTCTTCTTCTAGATGGGTATCCTTTTCGCAGCTCTGGCTTTCCTCATCGTGCAAATTGAGAATGTATTTTTCGTGTGTGTCGCATGTCTGTATGAGTATCACCTTTTTGTTCTTTGCGCAGATTGCGTCGTTGTTCGGGCAGACTCCGCTGCAGTTCGGGCAGACTGCGTTGCTGTTCGTCAAGACTGCTCTGTCATTCTCTTCATCGTTGCGATTTTCTTCCCTCTTCCTATTTTGGTAACTTTTTGTAAAACTAAACCTTAGGTAGTTTTGTTTTTTTCTTTCGATTTTTTGCTTAAATATATCGATGGCGCCTTTTTCAATGTTCGTTTCTTTTATGGGCGAAAATTTTTTGTTCATTTTAGGAGTCTTTTTTGTGTCGTTGTGTGTGTGCGGTTATATCGTTGTCTGGTTGTTTGGTTGTGTCGCTGTTTCGTTGTGTGCGTGTGTCGTTGCGCGGAGTAAAGCGGTTAAGTAGAAGGTTGTACACTGTCAGGGGGGAAAAATAAGGCAGTGAAAAAATAATGCAGTGAAAAGATAATAGAGTGAAAAGATAATAGAGTGAAAAAACAATAACGTGATAAAATAAAAACTGCTACCGTTCGTATGGCATATAATGTTCGCCTGCCTCAACTTCCTGCAATGTTGACGCGGTTGCTTCACCCAGCAAACGAGCTCAGGTGAGAAGGTGGTCGGGCGGAGGAGCGAACGGGTGAAGGGGCGAAAAGGTGAAGAAGCCAGCGTAATGATGATGTAAAAACCATAAGTTAGGTCCTCATGTAACGCAAGGACTAAATTGGTGAAAACAAAACTGAATGGGGAAAAAGGAAGGAAATAAAACAAAAGGAAAGAAAATAAAAAAAAAAACAGAAAATGCATATATGCTTATATGTCTATGTGCACTTTTCGGCAAAGGGGGAGAAACTGAGAAAGGAAGTGACTAAAAGTGGCGTCCACTTGTGCATACGCGCATGCATACGTGGGCATAAAGGCGTTTATCTGCATACGTTCATTTATGGCTGCATAGGTGTATGTGGGAGCAGATGGTGCGTCAACAATTAAGGACGTTTCTCGCGAAAAATTATAGCCGAAGGAGCGGTGGTGCATCCCTCATTTGCGCTGGCAAGTGTAAGGGAGCTCTCCTTTTTTTTTCAGTCATCAGCATTTCGGGTTGCCACAGCAAGTGGAAAAAAGTTTCTGCACATCGGCCGCTTGATCAAGTGACGGTCTTCGAGTGACTTGTCCACCTCACCGCATGACCGCCTAACCGATTAACCGCTCTCCCCTTTGGCTTCTTATTTCTCGGCGCACTAGAACCACAAATTGGAATGACGTTTGGTATTCCTACAAAAGGGTGCATTTGTTTTTTTTTCCGCCGCGAGACAACTTGCCACGCATTCCGCCCCCTTGTCATGGACTGAGCGACTGAGCCCTTTTGCAACGCACTTGACCCTTTTGCCACTCACTTGGCCCTTTTGGTCACACAATTTGTACTCGTTTTGCCCCCTTTTCTGCTTCCCTTGGCATTCCCCTCTTCTCGCGTATTCTGCCAATTTTCGCCTCTTGCTTCCCCCGTTTTGCGCTCACCCCTTTCGTTGTCTAGCACCCATCCACTAAAACGGGTTGCATTCTCACGCGCTCGCCAAGTAAGGTACTTCCCTCATTTGTGCAATTTTGTCATTTCGTTCTTTCGCAAAAAATATGTAACATTCAAGTGTAAATTGGTGTGTTTAAAAAAAAAGAAAAAAATTCCTTATTCGCTTGATTTTTACTTCTTTCTTTTTTGCTTTTTTCTGTTTTTTTTTTTCTTTTTAGGCTCTTTATTTTTTTTTTTCAAAAAATGTGCGCTTTTAATTTAGCCTTATTCCACGTATTGCTCTAAATTGTTTTTTCTTTTTTTCTTTTTTTTTTTTTGTAATGATTTAAATAGTAAAGACAAGAGAAAGTACAACTCCCGTGACCTTAGCGCATTGGGCTTGTCGCATGGTGTGCCAATATTTCTTTTCCATTTGAAAAAGTGGGCAAGGGGTGGGTTGGAGCGACTGAACGGAGTGCACAAGTGAAGAACACCATATGCCTTTTGTGCACCTTCCTACGCGAGCCTGTTCTTGTTCACAAGTGAACTATGTACAGTTTATGCACCCGACCAAGAGCATTTGGATCGTTCGCAGTGGGGGGGAGGGGGGAAAAGTGCCAAAACGGCAAAGCGCCAAAATGATAAGAAAAGAAGCTAAGATCATCTCATGTTTGTTCGCAAAAAAGAATTTCCCCCTTGTGTTGATCTTTAGAAGAGGAAAAACGAATAACTCCCGATGGCGCTAAAGCAAAAAGTGCGAATATGCAAGGGGGAAAGAACACGCGCGCGCAAGTGGGCAACCAGGCGGCCATGTGGCCACACGAACACCCAAAGGGGGAATAGAGCAGTCTCGCCCCCTTGAACGGATCTAACTCGGCATTGCGAAAGATATGAACGTAGGGTTAGTCGGAGAAGGAGCTTCTCCTAGTTATCCCCAGGGGAAGGCTTAACAAGCCGACGTTCTTATCTGTGTGTAAGAAGCCGCGCGTGAAGGTCCTCAGGTGTGTACACATCCACGCGTATGTAAAAGGCGCTTACGCGTAAACTTCCGCATGCGCGTAGTACATGTGCGTCCCCTGCGTACGTACGCACATTGAATGCGCCCAATTTTCACGCAGCGCGCTGAAAAAGGCGTATACCCCTTCAGTAGTACTACTATCTTGGTATCATTATTTTTATTTTATTACCATTTTTTTTTTTTTTTTTTTTTTTTGCGTGCACATTTTGGAAAAAGTATATAGGCAACATAGGTTGGCCTTTTAAATGACTCATCGAATAACCAATCATTTCAGATGAACAATTCTGTTCGTCCGTTTTGAATTCAGCTTGGCAACAGTGATGGTTATGGCCAAAAGGGAACCAACAGGGGGCAGAAGGGCGTAGCAGAAAATTCGCAAAAATTCCCCCGCGGGATAATCGAACTGTCCCATTCCTCCTACGAGGAATGAGCTGCGCGAAATAAAGGAAAAAAAAAACACCACAGTGATGGCATACGACCAATAATAAACATATGTACAATTCTTTAAAAAATGGATCTTTAAAATGGATTTTTTTTTTATTCTTCAGTCCTCCATTTTAAGCACAGACACGTGTGTAGAGCGCGTCACTTAAATTTTGTACTGAGCCTCCGTTTTTAACAACTCCAAATAGGGAATTTCCCATTTTAGAAGAAATAGCGTTGGAGCCATTTCTGCACAGTTGTCCCTGCTAATTTGTTAAGCGAATGCAGAGGGACTCCCCCAAAAGAGCATTTCCCCTTGTGTGTAATGTTTGCCAAATTTCTATTTTTCCGAAGTGCCTGCTATATTGCGTTATGCTAGGTTTTTTTTTTTTTTTTGCGTTGCGAAAATAGCTGTCCTATTAAGGCGAAAACGCACATTTTCCTAAGGCCTAGTAAAGGTAATTAAAAAATTAAAGAGGCTTAAAATTTTTTTAATTAAAAAGGCTAAAAGTTTTTAAATTAAAAAGGTTAAAAGCTTTTAAATTAAAAGTTTTTAAATTAAGTGGCCAGCCGTCTATCATCTAAATGGACAACAATTAACCGATTAAACAGCTTAATGCCAAGTGGTCTGTCCAATGAGGGGTCAAAATAATTAACAAATTAACCGGTTGGTGACTTACTGAGCAGGCTCCGCAAATGCAGGGCCCTTTGGACGAGATTTGTCTGCTCCCCGCGAAATGCGTAAATCGAGGAAGCATGTGCCTGGTGTAATATTCTCCCTGAGGAAACACCCATCCCCATCGCCCTCCTTCAGCGTTGTACATATTCACGCTGACATCCCTTCACATATATCGGTTCATGCGCGTTCAATCATGTGTATGTACCTTCCTTTTTTCCATTCCTAAGAATAAAAAAAAAAAATCCCCTTATAAGTATCCCCCCCCTTCAAAGAGCAAACAACTCTCCCTGTAAACGTAGGATCCCCTCTGGCCACTTTCACACATGCCTCCCGTCACTCGATGAAGAATGACAAAATTGGACAACATGGCGGGGACACGAAGACATTCAATACGTGCTTCGATAACGTAGATTTGAATTGGGCCTCTTTAAGAAACAAAAGGTTGAACGATGGGCCGGGTTTCTCCTTTTTCTATGAGTACGCGCATGACCGGTCTATATTGTCTCTTTCGTTGGACGAGAGTGGTAAGAAGCGCATCGTTGCAGCGGTGTAACGGTGCGGTGGTGTAACAGCGTGAGGGTGCAACGGTGTAACGGCGTAACGGTGTATCGCCTCACTGCTGACATACGATTCGCTAATTCTCGGGAATAACGCCGCGAATGATGCAGCCTTCCATTGTCGCCGCTGATCAGCTAATCGGCGTAATTGGCAACCCCTCTCCGCAGGCACCCACATGGCCACGGGCAGCGCGGACCACTCCATCCGCATACACAACCTGAAAAACCTATCCACCACGAAAGAACTATACCATAAGAAGTGCGGGCACTACGACTGGGTGAACAAGGTGTTCTTTACCAAAAGAAATGAAGTACTTTCAGGGGGTCTCGATGGAAAGATATGTCTGTGGAATACGACCTACTCATGCAAATCTCCAAAAGTGAATAAAATTATGAACAGTTCAGAATATATTGAACAGGAAAAAAAAGTCAGAAAAATGAATTTTAAAGCTTCTACAAATGTAACGACATGCAAAGAAATGTATGCACACCACTCCACCATTAGTGACATGAAGTTTGATAAAAAAAACGAAAAATGTATAACGAGCAGTTACGATAAAACGTTAAAACTTTTCGACATAAAGAAATTTCAACAGCTAGCCATTTATGAAGGAAGCCACACACATCCCATAACGAAATTTTTATGGTTAAAAGATAAAATAATATCCGCAGATAAAAGCGGCACTGTGTGCGTCTTCAATGTGGGAAGTTGTCAGGAAATGCTCCAGGCGAAAGGTACACACTCTGGAAATGTAGGCGCTTTGAATTATTTTTACCTATACAGAAATGGTGACTCCAATTTGGGGAACAAACTTGAGGATGGTAAAAAGAAGGGAAATGGCGCAGAATTCGAAGCAGCCATTTTCACGAGTGAAGATCATTTGAAGCAAGAGAAGAACAACGGTAGGAGGCAGTCAACCAAGAAAGATGCAGCTCAAATCACAAAAGCGGTTAATGTACTGGAAAGAAGTGATGACCATTTAAACGTACATAATGAGAAAATCCCTTTAATAGTAACAGGAGGACAAAACGATGGAATAATAAAAATTAGAGACTTTCGAATTTTTCACAAATACATTAGTTGCAAAAAGTTGCACACAGCTAGCATCAATTCGATCGTAACGTATAATGTTAACAATAGGACGTACATCATTACCTGTTCCGCTGATGGGTACTGCTACCAATTCGAGATCCACAGTATTTGTTCTTCAAATATGAACAATTATTTGAAGAAAATTGCCGTTAAGGAACCTATTCTTTCTGCGAGGTATATTGGGAACCACCTCCTCTTAGTTGGCTCAGCTTTTGGAAATTTATTCCTCCTAAATTTTTCTGACGGCTCAGAGAGTCACTTAACTTTGGGACAAAAAAAAAATTTGGCTGCTGTTGGGGAGGGGCCTCACCGGTTAAATGGCCTAGATGGAAGGGACAATGAGAAAGCCTCGCTCACTTCAGAGGAGGGCGCCAACCCGAACAAGGACATCTTGTGGGCCTTTGGCGCCTGCAGAAAGGGAGGCATTAACTGTATAGAATGCATTTTTGTATACGACGAAAAAAAGGCGTGTGCAAATGAATTCGAAATTTGCAGCATCGTGACGGGGGGAGACGACGGGCTGCCTTGCTTGCTGTCCATCCCCAATTCGTATGTGTAAGTGTGGGGAGAACGAGGCCGTGCAAGGGGAGAGAGGCCGTGAAGGTCCACGCAGCAGTGTGAAATTGATACACATCTCCGTCCGGGGAAGCAAACAAACAGACGTAGTTTTAAAAAAGAAGCGACCGGGGGATGCTCCCTTTTTGCAGCTGCGACGGCGAGACAAACTGCTACGACTTTGGAACTCTATTGAACTGGTAGAAATATCTCTGCAACTTCTCAGCCTCCTCCTGCCTTACGTGAAACAGGTTAGTCAGCTTGGGCACGCTGAACGTATCACGCTGTATATTATCCCTGTTGATGGGTTTATAAAAATTGTTTAAACATAAAAAGAGAGAAGGGGGAGGATCATAATTTTTTATGGAGGGCAGCAAATTGGTATTTCTGTAAATTTCGTAAACATGAGAATTTGTTACGGAGAATCTTTTAAACATTAGAGAGACCTTTTCGATTTGCTTTTTCATTTTATCTGCAAAATGGTTTAGCTGGCCTTTCTTGTGATTATTCACCGTTGGATGATTTCTTCCCTTCTGCACCATTTTGTTCATATACTCCGTAGAGTCCATCAGTGTGTATTCGTTTTCGAGAAGCAGCGTGAGGAAGTTCTCCATTTCTTTGGCGACTTTGCGTGGGGGGTGGTAAAAGCTGCCTGTCTTGTTACCATTGGGGGGGTGATCCGGCCTCACCTCTTGAGAGTCCCCTTCGATAAATTCAAATCGTGTTAGGGAATTATCCACTGGAAACTCATAACCTTGTAGGCCATTTTGTTTGTCAATTATGGAGGAGTGCCCTTCCCCCCTGATGGGAATATCCGAGGAGACATTTTGCAAAAGAACATGTTCACTGGAAAGTGGACTATTTTTCAAAGCTTGTTCATTCACGTACGAAACAAAATAAAAGAACAAATTAAACGATCGGAAGATGAGCATATTAATTAAATTCTTCATGTCTATATTGTAGCTTATTTGCTTACACATGGAATGGCTATCATTACAAAGGCAATCTTTTTCTTCGGGAGAGCCGTTGACATTGCGACGTATGAGTATCCTTTGCTTACACAGATTACGCAAGAGATTAAACAAAATGGAGAAGCTACTTATCTTCGTTTGTTCCTGCCGCTGCACACTTTGTAAAATATTTTTATGTAACTCCTTTTTTATGTGTTCATCATCCGTTACGAATCTTCTGAGAGATAAAACGGTGGGTTTATATTTTTGAAGAAAGTGAGAATAACGAATTAATTTGTCTTTTCCATTTACGACATTTTGAAGGTACACATAACTAATGTTATGTTTTTTTAAAATGATCCCCACCTCGTCATAATCCTCCACACTGCTATCGCTGTTACTTTTCTGCTGCACGTATCTGTTCATTTTTAGAAGAGCCCTTTTAATTAAACTCACATTTTCTAAGTCGTGCTTTATAAAAATTAGATCACCTGTATTTAAGCTCAAATCAATTTCGTAATCGGTGGTGTATCCCCATGCTTTGCCGTAAAAGTAGTTCAGCGCTTCTTCTTCCTCCTCCGCCACATTTTCTTGCTCAAAATTGGGTTCTCTCCTGTGATCATCTCCATTTTGTCCCTTCTTGGTAATGTTACTTTTGTGGAAATTTTTTATAAACAAGCTTTTGTTTAACTTCTCGTCGTCTCTTAGACGCTTCACTCTTTTTATTTCATTAAGTAGGAGTATGCAGACCGGGGACCCAACTACGAATGCTTTAAAGAGGAACGATGAGTTGGCCATCTTTAGCCGTCAAGTTGGCTGCTTAATTCACTGGTTTGACTGCTTAACCAGGTGCTTTCTCGGGGGGGGTATCCTACAAAACGGGGAAATCGCATCAACACAGGAGACTATCCCCCAAAATGGGTGTTTTTCTTAACCGTTTTTCTCACAGAAAGGGGGATTTTGTACCTTTGGGGCGATAAAATGTGTTTCCTTTCTGTGGTTCACAAGGGGGGGGGGCCAATACAGAATTTTTTTTTTTTTTTTTTTTTTTCCATTTTGGCAAAAACAGCAACGTGGCGCAACTGCGAAGCGATGAAACGGAGGAAGAACCTTTTCGCGGTGCAATCAACGGGGATATAGCCCACTGTGCAACGTCCCGTCACAGTTCCCACGAGAGGGATTTTTAAGCGATGCCTTCAAAATTCCCGCATTATGCATCACCCTATAGCGGTGATCACTGGGGAGCGAAATTATTCACGTTTATCCCTCGGCACGTGACGGAGAGTACTACCCATTGTTGTAGGTATACTCCCCGAACACCCCATTGTGAGGAATAAAACATACATTGGGGGGAGGGCGCCTGGAAAAACAACGCTAACCGACCCCTTCCGCATCACATCTTTTGGAGAATGTAACACCCATGCCGCATCATTGCTTGGACCCTTCTCCAAGCTGACCAAAGCGACAGTTACAAGTTATGTAGATCATTAAATATATCAGCACATATCTTAATAAAGAAATTTGGAGGAACTGAAGAAGTTCAAGTAGGCGGTTAAGAAAAAGATAAAGATGAATGAATACAAGTAAATACACTCGTTGCTCCTTTCGTTATAACCAATTATAACAGGTTGAAAATCAAAATATGCAAGGGGAAAAATGGCTGTTATATAAATATATACATATATTATGTATATATATTCATGTGCACATAGGCCATATGTCTAGGGAGATGTGAATAAAAAAGGCGAGAAAAATGGGATGATACAAGTGTGGCAAAAGGAAAAAAAAAGGGGTGAAAAAAAAAATATTAAAAAAGAAAAATTTAAACTCAAAAAATGGAAAAAAAATCTGAAAAATGGTAAAATTCTACGCTTTAAAGAAAATTGTTAACATAACTCCGAGCTGGAAAAAAAAAATTCAGGAAAACTGTTAAAAAAGCCGCGCGTACATGTATAACATTTTATTAATTTTATTCTTTTTTTTTTTTTTTCTTTTTTTTTAACAACTTCGTCATTCTTGTTAAAAAAAAAAATAATAATAAAGAAGAAGGAGGGAGGGGTAATCATGTGGTAACCTTAACGTGGCGATAAAATCACGCACACAACACACACTTGCAATCGCAAAGGTAAAGAAATTATCTCACCATATGTGTCCTCTCTCTGTTGTTAAACCGATTGGCCAAAAGCTCTCTTCATTCATGTTCATGCTGTTCATTCGTCCGAATTTGTGTTTCCATCACCATCCGCACGAGGTTCCGCCTGAAGAAAGTAAAAATGGAGAAAATGGATCATAAGGTAAAAGTCATAACAGGGGTAATAAAAAATGTCGTCGTGCAGCCGGACGTGCCAAAAGAAAGAAAAATATACATATATGTAGGAATTATTTTGCGGATGCGTCTTAGCGGGTTCGTACAGGGCCAGGGCCAATAACGAACAATACATAACAGCGCTTATTAGGAAGGATGCTTCCATGGAGTTATAAAATAAAGGCATGTTTTTCTGTGTGTGCGCGTCTGTCTGTTTTATACTCCTTTCTTTTTTTTATTTTCTTACGAAGTCATCTTGAGGTGGGGCTGCTTCTTCAGTGGAAGCAGAATCGCCGTCCTTGGAACCTCCCAAGGAGAATGGGGGTCTTCCGTTTCCGGTATTATAAAAGACTAATCCGGCACCTCCTAAGAGCACTGCTGATACAAAACCTAGGGCTGAAGCAAGAACGGTGGTTGCCACTTTATACTTAGACTTCTTCTTCGTCATGTTTACGAGTTCTTCTTCTTTCCTAACCATTTCGCTTATCAACTCGTGCACGTCAATGAGAGGTTCTGGGGATTCTGCAAGGGGTGAGGGGAATGCGGCAAATGCGTCGGTGAGGGAAGTTGATCAGGGGCGTTGCAACGATTTACAGCGGGAGATCCACGCACAGAGGGATAAGCACAATGAGCACAGAACGGTGTTGCGAGCTCTGTGCACAAAAGGAACCCCACATAGAGACACACATACACTTGCGCGAAACACCTCCTACATGCGCACCAACGCGCAATACACATTTTGCAGGAAATTCACACACGGACATGCACGCACAATGGGGAGTTCTATGAGATGAAAACTTACTGCTCTTGGGGGATTTCTTCTTGGGGGTGCCACCTGGCACGTTTACATTATCTCCCAACGCATGGTCACAAGCGATGGCGCAAAAAAGGAGAAAAACGGGTGTTAAAAGTTTCATTTTGAATCAAACGGGGGGCTATCACAATGGGTCGAAGTGGCGAAGGCACGTTCCTGCGTATAAATATGTATACGTATGTACGTATGTGTGTATGCGTATCTGCGGGCAGCGCTTCGAAGTCAAGGGAGTCGAGTTTGCTTCACTGTTCACCGGTGTTATGGTGTGATATTAAAGTTTAAACATTAAAGGTGTGTTCACACAGAGGTAGCTGAGTCGAATCAAAATTCTCAAGTGCTCTCCTGCGTTATGCGATTGTGGTGTATCTGCAGAAATCAGTCCTTACGCGCGTGCGCCTGCGGGATGCATATATTAATGTAAAAGCAATGTATGGCCGTACGTATGCAGCATATGCGGTAATTCCTCGCGCGACTAAATTAAGCGTGAATATGTTATGTTTTACGGCACCACAAGGCACACGCATAAATATGCATAAAGATACATAAACATAGATATAGATATATGTATATATATGTACATATATATATATATAAACGCGTGAGCAAAGAACGCTCAGCCATCAAAAGATGTCAAAAGAAGCATATATATATCTATATACATGCGTGCACGTAAACATACGCTTACTTGAATAATGTACTGTTAAAACATTAAAACTGGGCGTAATGTTTTTAATAAAAAACAAATCTTATAAAAATTATGTTTACAGGCTAAATTCTTTTTCCTATTACATTCTCTTTTAAACTGTTATGTGGATGTAAATTGTGTATAAAAGTGAGGTATACATAACATTGGTTTTTGCGTTTTTAAAGTGAAAAAAATAGA